TCGCTATGACGTGCGCTGACCACCAGGGGGCAGCGCAGAACATGGCGGGTGTTGGCGATGTGGTGCTGGCAGGAGGCGGCAGTGGAGGCACTGCTGGACCCTATATGGGCATTGGTGATGTGGCGCTGGCAGCAGGTGGCAATGGAGGTGCTGCCGGCCCCAATGGGCCCCAACAAGAGCAGGACGGCGAGATGGTGGAGCAGGTGAGTGGGCGGCGCCAGGTCAAGGCAGGTGCAAGAGGGGGGCCTGATTACCCCGCAGATGGTGACCAGCAGGGTGGGGGGCGGGGCCACCACCTGGCATCTAGGCACTGAGGGAGCTGGGCTGGGGGCCCAGCCCTGATCGATTGCCCCGCAGGCAGGATGGTGGAGCAGGTGAGGGGGTGGTGCCAGGCCAAGGTGGGGCTGCGGGGCTGGGAGGCTGAGGGCCCAAGCTGGGGCTGCGAGGCTGGGGCTGTGAGCTGGGGCCCAATCTCCGCAGGCCACCCCAAGGACTCCACCCGTGCACAAATTTGTGCATTGGGCCTCTAGTTGTATTATAATCATCAAACTTGCTCAGAGACTAGAACTTAATGATTATAATCACTAAAAGGAAGGGATCATTTTGTAATGCAATGGAGGTGTTAATTATCACTGCAGTGCAATCAGATCACAATGTTTAAATGTATGAGATTAACAAGTGGTACATCTTAAATTTACACAATATTATGCATCAAATTTATTTTAATAAAATAACACATGTAATAAAGATGTTTATAAAAGTGGTTAAATAAGCAAACAAAAGTCTTTCAGCTTTTCTAATAGAATTTGTACGCTGCTTGTAGTTCAAGTCGAAGACTCGAAAATACTAAATTTCCATATTCTTACAAATTGACCTTATTCAACACAAACTACTCATTATATTGCTGCACTAGTACACTTTTTAAGCATGGTGGTGGTTTTGTTCTCAGGTCAGACTTCTCCACTAGATTGCCTTCCTTCTCTCCGGCCTGGAGAAGCACTCAGTGCTGAACAACTAAATGAATGAATGTGCCAGTACTTTAACACCTGTGCATTCCCCGAAGGAGCTCACTGTCTTAACTGCTTAGGGTTGACAAGTCGTTGCTAATGCCCTTGCTTCCTTTTTAAGAAATTATGAAGATTAAAGGGTAACAAAAGTGGTAGGCCTTAGTGGAAACACTTCCTTTTGGGAAAAAAGTAAAGTGACTTTGGCCCTCACCTGGGAACATTCTTACCTTGGGCACTGAGGGGACCACTCCGCCAGAACTCTATAAACCTTGGCAGAGAATAGAAGCAATGAAAGATGACTCCAAGGTTTCGTTCTTAAGGGACCCAGCCACATTTCTCTTAATCACATCGATAAACAGACAAGACACTTTCACAGCTTTTCACTCACCCCTGAAGCAGAACCTTGGACAGAAAATATAAGGAAGGAGGCTGTGCAGAGCACTGTGGGTAGGTTTTTTTTTGTTTGTTTTTTTTTTTTACTTTTGCTTCAAGTCTGCTTTAAGAATGTGAGCAGATAAGACCCATGGCTGCAAGTAGGACTGGGTTCTGCATACTGTATGGCTTGGCAAGGAGACTGGAGTTCTGCCCGAGGACACCCTCATCCCCCTGCTGCTTTTCCTCACTGCTCTCAGTGCCCTGCCTGCCATTGTTTATCACCCTCCCACATGCTTGCCTCTCTGTGGATTCCTGTCCCTGGTCAGTCTCTCCTGGACTCTAAGATTAGAAAAGGAACCACCATGAAGTGCCATGTGGCATTCTTTGTATACATGGCAATGAATATGGGGAAGAAAAGACTGAAAAGAGGAGAAAAGAGCTGGAAGAAATGGGTGGAGTGCTCGGGGAAGGCTACATGTCACTAATTGGGAGTGTTCATAGGACCTGGCCAAGGCATCCAAGGAGTGAGAGAGAAGAGGACCCTGTAGTCCAGAGGCCATAGGCACCTCCGGAGGTAAAGCACTCATTAGTCTCCATTCCTGACTCTTTGCGGGAGGAAGAAGAATGCATTAGGTCCATAGTAACAAGCAAGATGGCCACTCACTGAAACCACATCGCGGTTCCGAAGCAGGGACCCTGGGTGGCTTGCTCCAATGTGTCTTTTGTTTTCCCTGAAGCCAGGTGTCCTTTAGAGTCACGAGGCATTCTCAGAAGGCAAGGGGCATCTGGAGACCTTAGTCTATAAGTATCGATGATATTTTAGATAAATAATTCCATATTTTGCTTCCCAAGTAATTGGAAACAAGGAAATAAATAAGTGTGAGGCTGAGTGGAATATGACCCATCGACTTATAGGGTTTATTTTGTTGGTTGATTTCTGAAGTTATTTCAAGAATCCCTTTGAGCATAAGCTGTTCCTGTCTGGCAATCGCTTTGTTTTTGTTTCTTTAATCATATCACTTTACTAAAAATTATTTTTCTTCCATATTTTCCTCCCTTTTCATTTTGGGCTTTTGGCAGGATTCATAATTTAAACAGAGGAAGGCACTGAAAACAGTTTTTGCCTTGTTTATTCTTTTTGCAAACAACATCCCTTCGTGGGTTTAGTCAGAGATTTTTACTCTTTGCTAATTGACACCAAAATAAATAGACCCTTAAAGCTGTCAGTGACACCAGCCAGTTCTGCAGCCTGAGTTCTGCAGGACCAGGCCAGATGGCAGAGCCAGGCCCCTAGCACACATAATGTGTGTCTGTAGCTCTTGGCTTCAGCAGCCCGGGCAGCTGACCGCTTTTGAGAAGGCTTAAGTGGGGAGGGAGCAGAGTCTCCACTACCCATTGGTTCTGTAGGGCATCTCCAGGAATAAACCCTCAGGTGGCGAGAGTGGTATAGTGTCCTGGCCACGGCACCGGCTGGATTTCCTGAACTCCTGTTCTGTGATATGTTCCCATCACGAAGCTTCCCTCTAGGCTCTCTGTTGTGTAAAGTGGAGCGGGAGAGCTTGCCCATTTTTCTGAATTTTCAAATCGTGTGGCAGGAGGTGTTGCACAATTACACAGGTGCAATGAGGGTATGAGTTCATCTTGTACAAGTCACACTGACAGGACAGAACCTTCATTCTGTTCAGCCGGGTGTTACCTCAGCACTGTGGAGGTGAGGAGAGAGCATTCATTGTCATGGGTGTAGTGGAGGTTGATCTAGTCCCCGGGAGAGTTTATTGTAAGTGTAGCTGAAATATTGTGCTTTGAGCTTCCAGAGAGGCAGTTAATTAGTAGACCGCCTGGACCTCTGAAAGAGGGATTGTAAGAGATTCTGATGTGGAAGCTGCCTCGTCTCTTCCCCTCCTCGTCCAAGAGGTTGGGTCCAGAAGATTGGTTTTTCTCTTTTAAGCTCATGAGACACACTGCTTGTATCTTCTTAGGTCTGCAGAGGACAGGATAACCCACAGGATCAAAAGAATTTTGTGTGCAACAGAACATGTAAACAAGGATTTCTCATCAGTTATCTCACAAAAAGAACCCAGAGACAAGCCAGGGCCTTCTCCGAATTTGCAAACCCTTGGCCTTTGCAGAGGGAATCTTGATGGTCAAGTAAAATTTTAGGAGAAGCTGGTTGTTTGAAATATATTTTTATTGATTTCAGAAAGGTAAAGAGAGGGAGAGAGAGATAAAAATATCAACAATGAGAGAGAATCATTGATCAGCTGCCTCCTGCATGCCCCCTACTGGGGATCGGACCTGCAACCAGGGCTTGTGCCCTAGTGGGAATCAAACCTGGGACCCTTCAGTCCACGGGCCGATGCTCTATCCACTGAGCAAACCCAGCCAGGGCTAGGAGAAGCTGGTTTTTGAGAGAGGATTTGGTTTAATGAAGAAGGGACAGCTACCCATGGTAGATAGAGAGACTAAATCCCTCTGAACTTTCATGTATTAACTATAGGACCCTCTCCCTTTACACATCCTCTCATTGAAGATGGGTGTTCGAGTGGAATTGTTTAGATGCTGTAGCATTTAGAAGGGGGGTGTTCATTTTTTCCTTTTGATTCCTCTTGGTGTGCTGTTACCATCCTGCCCCATGAAGCATGGTGTGGCTCTGTAATTCTGTGCTAAACGGAAGTGCTGGGTTGGAACCAGCTCAGCATTTGCCTGTTTACTGCTTCTCTACACATTATGGCTTCCTTACTTCAAATAGTGTTCGCACAGACCAAAAACATGTTTTTTGGCTGGCATCCAGATTTTGGCTTCCACTCCCAGTCATGCCATAAAAATGCTGTCAAATAAATTCTCAGGAACTGAAAGGAACAAATTCCCTGCCCCATATGATTGCAGATAATAGAAGCAGGCTTCAGCTGACCACCTGGCTGGGTGCCTGCGGCCTAGGAGACCGGATCGCACTGCACCCCTTGGTACTGCCATACAGCCGTCAGAGTTCCTTCTCTGCCTGCGATGGATGAGCGTTCCGTGTGAGAAACTTGCACACAGCATTTATCTCCACTGGGCCTTTCCATAAAATGTTATCATTATCCTGCTCTGTTGCCAGCTGGTATATGTTATGAAGTTTTTGAACCCAGGATTAATTTTCTGTTGATAAACTTCTAGCGTTAGCCATAGACGGACAGACAGGATCCTTCTGTGATCTGGGGTGTGTGTGTGTGTGTGTGTGTGTTTTGAGAGAAATGTTTCCCTTTCTCACTATGGTTATTGTAATGTCCTTATCATTCACAGTCCCAGCTGGAAGGGATGGCACATTCAAATTAGAATAATTTAGGGGGGTTTTACTTACAAAAGGACTATTTAAAAGGTGTGAATGTATGAGGGGATGGGAGGGGTAGTGTATAACCCAGTGGAGCTATTTCTACCCCTAGAGCGAAAGGAAGGAAAGGAAAGGGAACCTCCAAGACCTAGGAGAGCGACTTGTAGAGCAGAAAGGCCGACAGCCCCGGGGCCACTCATCGCTTCCCGGCCTCCAGTCTCCTGTCAGAGCTCCCCCCGGGCTGAACCCAATCAGCAGCCAGGAGGTAAGGGAGTCCTTTGATGTGGTCCCCAAGGTCAGCTTCCTGGATGGAGAGCAGGACAGAGGCAGAATGTGGATTTGGAGGGCAGATGGAAGGCATCTGCCGCATACCCACAGTAGGTATCAGTTATTTCCAGGAGAGGCACAAAAATCTCACTGGAACAGCCCTGGCTAGTACTTCTCAGTGGTTAGAGCATCAGCCTTCGCACCAAGGGGTTGAGGCTTCAATTCCCGGTCAAGGGTGAGTACCTGGGTTGCAGGTTCAATTCCCAGACCTGGGCTGTGTGTGGGAAATAACCCATCTATGTGACTCTCTCAGATCGATGTTTCTTCTCTCTCTCTGATCGATGTTTCTTCTCTCTCTCTCTCTCTCTCTCTCTCTCTCTCTCTCTCTCTCCCCTCTTCCTTCTGCCTTCCTTTCCATTCTCTCTGAAAATCAATGGGAAAAAATATCCCATTGATTAAGAATTTTAAAAAAATCTCACTGGAACACTTAACTCACTTTTATTTTTAAATGGCTTTTTGAGATGTGATTGACATATAAAATAAACTGCACATATTTAAAGCATACAATATGATGCATTTTGATATGTATATACCTGGGAAACTGTCGCCACAAACAGGATAGCAAATGTATCCATCACCATCCAAATAAACCCACTTTACCTTAACACTTAAGTTATTCCTCAGGTTCTCTTAGGGGGGTGTAGAAAGGTGTGAAATCAAGCAATAGCAGGTGCAGTTCTGGCTCAAAAGACACACCAAAACAATGAAATTCAAAACAATATCCAAGCTTATGAGAAGGCTCTTTAATAGTAAGTAGCTTATAATAAATTAGGGGGGAGGGAAAGATTGAGTTTGAAAGGGTTTGGTTTTTGTTTGTTGGTTTGGTCTCTATGTTGTGTCTGTTTATTGCTACTAGTATGTATTTAAAACAAAACGACAAAACTCTGTGAATCTGTCTGGTGGGAGTATTTGACCCTGACGGAAGCAATGATGCCAGCACCTAGCAGTACCAGCAGAACCATATACCTGAGCTCCAGTTACCCACCTGAAGTTCATACGCACCACACCGCACTCCCAGTCTTAGTGCATGTTCTCTACAATGCCACCCCAGCTCCTCTAGGTGAGAGGGTGTGATCTGTTACAACAATGCTTAAGTTATTACCATGGTAACTGTTGTGTGTTTAGTATGTGCTTGATGATAGAGCTTTGTGCTATTCTTTAATAAAAGGAAGTAAATCATTTGCAAACACATTTTGTTTTTTACCTTTTATTAATTACTAGTGCCCTGGTGCATGGATTTGTGCACATTGAAAGGAAATTAACTAGAAGGTGGCCGGCAGGGCGGGACTGGGCGAGATGGGCTGGACATGCCCTGGAGCCAACCTCTCATGGTCCCTCCCTGGCCAGCCGCACCTGTGGTGGTTGATGTGGTTGTGGGAGGCAGTGAGTATAGACATTTGCCTACGCTGTCCTCTTGGTTCTCTGAGGAGGATATTTTTTCCATTGCTTTTTAGAGAGAGTAGAAACCAGGGAGAGAGACAGAGGGAGAGAAACATCAATGTGAGAGAGACACATCGATTGGTTGCTCCTGCATGCGGCCCAGTTGGGGCCAGGGATCAAGCTTGCAACCAAGAATATGCCCTTTACCTGAATCGAACCTGTGACCCTTCATTTGGGGCAGGGGGAAGGGGCCCAGAGCTCCTACCACTGAGAAAACGGGCTAGGGCTGGGATTGTTTCCTTAGTTTCCCTTTTTGATAGTTTGTTTTATTGGTGTATTGTGGAGAGTGGCTATAGCATTTGGACAGGTTCAAGCCTCAGACTAATGACAGGGTATGGTCCTCTCGTGGCAAAGCCACATGTAAGTCCCAGCTTGGAGGGCAAAGCCCTCCCAGCACAATTACAGCCAAAGGCTATAGTTGTAAGCTTGACCTTATGGTCCGAACCTGTGGTCCCAGGTGGCTAAGTGAGTTAGGCTGTGGGAGGTGCAGCAAGTGCTGCCAAAACAAAGCTTGATAGAGTTCAGGTGCATGTAATTGAGTAGATTCAAACCCCGGGAGAATATTGTAAACATCTTGACCACACTCTTACTTTGCCTCATGGAATCTGGCTATAAAATAAAGACTCGGTTTGCAAGCTGTGGCACTGTCTCTCCATCCAAGAGCAGTGTCCCACCTAGCCCCAGCTTTATTTTCTTATCTGTCTTCTTTAATCCTTCACCCCCCCACCCCCCTCAGGTTCACCTCTGGCCATGCTGAGCGCGGCACAGTGTATAAAAGTGCAACCAATTTCTGAATATTTATTTTGTATCCTGCTACTTAACTAAATTCATTTATCAGACCTAATAGTTTTTGGTGGAATCTTTAAGGTTCTCTATATACAGTATCATGCTATCTGCAAATAATGACAGTTTTACTTCTTCCTTTCCCATTTGGGTGCTTTTTAAAAAATATATTTTACTGATTTTTTTACAGAGAGGAAGGGAGAGGGATAGAGAGTTAGAAACATCGATGAGAGAAAAACATCGATCAGCTGCCTCCTGCACACCCCCTACTGGGGATGTGCCTGCAACCAAGGTACATGCCCTTGACTGGAATTGAACCTGGGACCCTTCAGTCCACAGGCCGACGCTCTATCCACCGAGCCAAACCAGCTAGGGCCCATTTGGGTGCTTTTTATTTCTTTGTCTTGTCTGATTGCTGTAGCTAGGACTTCCAGTACTATCCTATATAATAAAAGCCTAATATGCAAATCGACCAAACGACAGAAGGACTGGTCACTATGATGCACACTGACCACCAGGGGGCAGCTGCCCCCAGCCCACAGGCCCCAGGCCAGCCAAGGTGGGTGCCAGTGGGGGGTCCCGAGATTGCCCTGTCGGTCGCTCCCCGATCGCCCCGCAGAGGCGATCCCACTTGACATAATGTTTTTAATGTATTGCTGAATTTGATTTGCTAATATTTTGTTGAGAACTTTTGCATCTATATTCATCAGGGATATTGGCCTATAATTTTCTTTCTTTGTAGTGTCTTTATCTGGTTTTAGAATTAGGATAGTATTGGCCTTATAAAATGAGTCTGGGAGTCTTCTCTCCTTTTGACTTTTTTGGAATAGTTTGAGATAGGTGTTAGTTCTTTGAATGTTTGATAAAATTCACGTGTGAAGCTATCTGGTCCAGGACTTTTGTTTGTTGGAAGTTTTTTTTTTTTTCTGCTTTGATTTAATTGGTTGTAATCAATTTGTTCATATTTTCTGTTTCTTTTTGATTCAGTTTTGGAAGATGGTATGTTTCTACAGAAGTTCCTTCTAATTAAACACTAACTTCTCGTGTGTACGGATATTAGAACAATTTTTTTTGATAGGTCCACACCTCTTATTATGGCTACCTTTTTGAGATAGGAAGTGAAAACTTAAGTTAATGGTTTCTAATGTAGTGACTTGATAAATGTTTATTAACAGTATCTAATGTTTGTTAGAGTGCTTTTACTTGTTTTTTTTTTTTTTTTCAATTCCTTTTTATGTCCATTAACTTATTTGACTAAGTGAGTAAGGTGCCTTCAAAAAGAGCTTTAAGCCAGCCCTGGCTGATGTGGTTGAGCTAGTTGGGGGGTTATCCCATACACTAAAGGATGGTGGGTTTGATTCCCCATCAGGGCACGTCTCTAAGCTTCAGGTTCCATCCCTGGTTGGGGCGTATGGGAGGCGACTGATGGATGTTTCTCTCTCACATCCATGTTTTTTTCCTCTCTCAAATCAATAAAAAAATTGTGTCCTCGGGTTAGGATTTAAAAACAAAATAGCATTAAGCCAGTGCAGGAATACAGAAACAGTCCTGTACTGCCAATGTGTCCAGTAAATTAGGCAGCCATTTTATCTGCTTGTTCAGAATATTTCAACACCATTAATTCATAATTTTGTTTATCTCTTTAAGATCCACACGGGTTTACAGCACCAAATAATCTGGGCCTGTCAGCCCAGCTGCGTTCCTCTGGATGAAAAACTTCTGCCCCAGCTCCTAAAAGAAGCAGGCTACACTACCCACATGGTCGGAAAGTGGCACCTGGGAATGTACCGGAAAGAATGCCTTCCAACCCGCCGAGGATTTGATACCTACTTTGGTAATGGAAATGCACATGTTGCTTTAACAACTCAGACTGACTGCAGCCATCTCATAAAACACACCCACGTGCGATCGAATGAAATGCTGTAACTGGAAACTTGAACACAGAGTGAGCCAGTCAGCACCACCGTGGGGCCACTGTCTAATGCCACCTCCATAATGTGGCTCATGACCCCACAGGGAGGCAGTTTCCTTTGCCAGGTGACTTAATGCCACGTTGGAGCCTTTGGAAAATTTGCTACCTTCACATCCCAGACCGTTGTACTCTTAGAGAACCTTACTATCAAAAGGGGTTACAAATGATTTTTTTTTTAATTGCAAGCAAAACCCAATACAAGAATATTTCCTTCACTAAGGTGTGGAATATTTTTTTTCTCCCTGTGAGCTGTGTTTAGAGGTTTTTTGTTTGTTTGTTTGTTTTTTAAAGATGGTGGAGAAGATTCTTTTCCATTGGCATTCTTCTCCCTTTCTTACAGATCTGTTTTTGAAATCACTAGATTGGGGGAAATAGATAAAAAAATAAAATCTGAGGAAAAGTACAGATAGTAATAGGAAGGATAATAAGAAATTATAAGTATCTTATGAACTTGAGAGCTCTATAATAAATAACATGAAGCCTAAAGTTTATTTTTAAATGTGCCCTCTTTAAATCTGTTCAGAGCCGTCTTAATTAACAACCTGTTTATTTTGACAGTGGCTATATATCTTTGCCAGGTTCTTTTTCATACTGCTCTTTCTATCTAGCTATTTCGCTACCTACCTTCCTTTTTATATATATTCATTTATTTTCAACTTGCCATATCTGAAAAGGAATACATATTTCAGCATAAAACATTTACAAATAAATAGAATAAAAAATTAGGACAAATAGAAAAAAGATGGAACAGTTGCTTGGCACAAAATTAAGAAAACCACTGCATGATTGTAGTAGGTGGGCTTCACATTCAACTCTGAGAGTTGAAATTTTTTATGTCCAAAGCAAAAGAAAAAAAGGGTAAGTCTATAAGAGTCACATTATTTATAAGATAAATGGAAACCAGATGTTCAGGAAGAGTAAAGCATTTTCTGGCTCTTAGACCTAAGAGAAATTCCTCCTTTGGGAGAAGGTAAGGTGGAGAGCGTCCTCAAAGACATCATTTTAATAATAAAGTGGTGGTTTTCTTACAGATGTTTCCTGAGGCATTTTCTCTTATTCAAGCTGGGGCCAGAGCACCAAAGTGCATTTCAGTAAAAGTGATTTCATGGGGCCCAAACAATGCAGTCGAAGCAGGTAGCTCTGTAGCGCTTGTTGAATGAGGATTAAAGTTGAGCTGCAAGGACCTCAGACGTGAGATCTTGTGTGCCCTGCGCTGTCCAGGTTCTCTAGCAGACATCACTAGTCAATCATGGCATTCTCTGTGCGTGAACTGGACACATCCTGAGTATCCTTAAATAGCTGTGCAAGATCATACTGGATGTAAGACCTCTGTCATTTCGGAAATTCTAAAAGAAAAAAACAGCCTGTACACCCTTTGAAATTTTTCAGTCAGGTCTTTGCTAAAATATGGGCCAGTACCTATACTGTGAGAAGAGAAAAACTATGGATATTTTTTAAAAATTTATTAAAAAACAAGTTACATATTTAGAAATTCAGGGCTTAGATGGACAGACAGATCTCACGTTCCTATGGGTTGGAGACTTGCACATAAGGAAGGTGTAATGACATGCAGCTGCCATCACTGTTTGGTCCTGATGTTCTGTAAAAAGCAGTCAGATAATTATGGGGCTGGTTGCAAGACTGCGAATACACTGCACACGATTGAATTATATACTTTAAATGGGAGACTTGTATGGTATGTGAATTATATCTCAATAATGCTGTTAAATAGAGCCGTGGGAGATTTAGCTGCTCAAAAAGTATTTTCTCTTTTTCTCCCAAAACGCCTAAGCTGCCATCTTCTTTAGGCTCAGCATGTAAGTTCAAATTTGTGACTCATTCTTATGAGAGAAGCTCTATGTGATTGTAACATGGATGCTTGGTGTCAGTTTGGTCAAGTATGTGAATACATAGTTGTATTCTGGAATCCTATTTGTAATATCTTTTTATTATTTGTAGTTCATCCTCTTTTAATCAAGTATATCCTAGGCATATTTTCTCCCAAATGATAAAAATAGTTTACATTTATAATGAACCCGAAGTGATTTTCTCCAGGACTGATTCCTAGTAGTTATTAAAAACCCCAAATAGAACCCCAGTGCCACGACCCCTCTCCGAACAGATATAGGGGCTCAAACTATTTTTGTGGACACATTTCTTTCTCTATTACATATTAATTAGCAAACCCATTGGGTTTCCCTTTTTGTTATATATGTAGGAGAAAAATTACAATTTAAAACATTATCTTAAGACCATTGTTCACTATATTCAGAACCATGAATTTAGTGAATCATGGAAAAGGAGGAAATTAATAAAAAATGAATTGACTTATTGTGTAAGCTGTGTAAGGCTCTTAATTGTGATTATAGGAAACATTCAGGACTGGGGAAAGGGCTAGGCCAATTTATCATCCGCATTTTAAGGTTTATCAGTATTTGTCAGGTGATAGCTCAGGGTCCAGCACAGTTTATTTCTTTTTAAAAGCTTTATCAAAGTGTAATTCATTTATCATGCAATTCACCCAATTAAGGTGTATAACTCAATGGTTTTTAATACATTCATAGGGTTGTGCCACTGTCCTCACAATTCAATTGTAGAACATTTCCATCACACCCCCAAAGAAACCACATGCCCATTAGCAGTCATTCCCTATTTTCCCCCAACCCCACTAGCCCTAGGTGACCTCACTAACCTAGGCTTTTGTCTCTAGTAGATTTGCCTATTATGGACATTTTATATGAGTGGCATCATACAATATGCAGCACAGCATATCTCTATTTATAAAAGACTAATATGCTAAGTGTCCGACCGATTAGTCAACTGATTGGTCCTCCGCTTGACCAGTCCCTATAACACACACTGACCACCAGGGGGCAGATGCTCCAACTGATAGGTTAGCTTGCTGCTGGGGTCCGGCCGATAGGGAATGGGCGAGATGGGCCAGACATGCCCTGGAGCCTTCCTGCGGTCCTTCCCTGGCCAGCCAGACCTGAAGGGCCCTGATCGGGACTGGGCGAGATGGGCCCTGGTCAGCCCCGATCGCCAGCCAGGCAGAGGGACCCCACCCTTGCATGAATTCGTGCACTGGGCCTCCAGTTTTAATATATTAGGAAAATATGGAACATTTGCAGAAGCAACTGTTGGTTGAGAAAACTCATTTTCTCCCATGGTTAAGTCTAAATTATGAGATAGGCAGTTAATGCCATTTAAATTTGGGGTGAAATTGAGATCACAATAGGTAGAAAAGTCTAATCTTAGTGCTGCACATTAGTTTGATCATTTGGCCCTGTTATGTATAGAAATCCTCCGTTTGGAAAGGTTTGTGTCTTTGACCAGTGGGTGTCAGTGTCTGACTAAAGATGATTCCTCCTAGAGCCACTTCTATAAATAACCTTGAAGCCAGTCTTTGAAGGTCAATATCAATATTATTCAATCCCTGCATTCATTTATGTAATCACCTCAGAATAAATACTTGTAACAAATCACATTACCCATATACTATTTTAGCTATTAGATAGCTTTAAAAGATTAAGATGTTATCATCTTTACTGAATTTGAACCCTGACTTTTTAAAAATGCATTTACTTAGAATCACCCACTTTGAGAGTTACATGATAGAGCTTGTATGCTAAAGACTTTAGTGAGGAGTGGATTTGAATTTTTTTACAATTATACTTTAATGCCATCTGCTAGAAAATATAGAGATGTTAAGAAATGCTGCTCTGATTAACCTGTTGTCAGATTAGCTTTGTCGTGGGTAATCGATTGCATTAGGTAATTAAATACTGGAACATTAGTTTAACAAGTTTTATGCCATGCTGACTACTTCCATCTCTCATTCTTGCTGTAGGATATCTCCTAGGTAGTGAAGATTACTATTCCCATGAACGCTGTGTGTTTATCAACGCTTTGAATGTCACACGATGTGCTCTTGATTTTCGAGATGGTGAGGAAGTTGCAACAGGATATGAAAATATGTATTCAACAAACATATTTACCGAAAGGGCTACAGCCCTCATAACTAACCATCCACCAGAGAAGGTAAGTCTTGCCTCTTTATTGATATCAAGATTGTGTTCAGAGAGGGTCTCCACAGATGAGTATAGAAAGAGGCCATCGAGGGAAACATCTAATACATTCTAGGGGAATTATTTTCAAATTTTAGAGTGCACTAGTATCAGCCTGGGAAGCTTGTTAGAAATGGAAATTCCTGAAGCCCATAAGGGTCTGATCTCGCATGTCTGCGGGAAATCCATACCCTCGCATTTTAAAGAAACTCCTCAAGGATGATTCTGGTTAAAATGGTTCCCAGATTACACTCTGAGAAAGACTGTATCTATAGAGTTTTAGTAGAAATATAGTTTTATTATTTGGTGCATTATGTGCATGTGCTATAAGTAATTAGCAAACTGACATTTTAAAAAAATGATATGCTTATGTACAGGATGAGGTTTTATTATGGCAAACTTTCTATTAAGAGCTCACTAAACTTTAGGTTCAGGCCAAGTCCTCTAACTTTGTATTCTTCCCCCACACTCAAGATCATTTTAGCTATTCTAGATATTTTGCATCCCCTAGATATTTTGCACCCTCTAATTTTAAAATCAGCCGATCCATTTCTTTAAAAAAAAATGCCTGCTTGGATTTACATTTCATTAAATCTATAGACCTTGGGAAGAATGGCTGTCTTAAGAATATTGAGTGTTCCAACCCATAAACATGGCATACGGATGAGCTTGTTTTTTACATTTATCATCCTGAAACCATTGTATACTTCATATGCTAAAATCTCTTGACTTATCTATAGGTAAAACTAGAAGAGTTTGAATAGACTTAAACATTTTTTTGCTAGCCTAGAGTTAACCACATGAGCTAAAGTTTAAGCTGAATTCTCTGGATTTAGCTTATAAATACCTTTAAAATGGGTCAAATATTTGTGGTGTCAGATATTCGGCTCAAAATATAGCTTTATTAAGAACTGCATTAGCATACCCACGAAATTAACCTTCAGTAGGAACCTGGCAGAGCAGATCACAGCATGTGCGGTGTTGTCTGGTTCTTCCCATTTCCTGCACTTTGGCTCCTTGACAATTACTGAAGGTGTTCAGTGCAGATCACAATTTGGATTCCAGTTTATATACCTGTGAGACATGGTACCTGGCTGCTGACTCCCTTTTTGATGTGGTTTCTTTGTGGCTCAGTCTTTGCCGCCTTTTACTCATTATGAGGAGTCTTCCCTGGAATCTGTCCTTGGCTTTGCCACACTTTTGGCTTTTTATCCCTGTTTCACACTGACATCTTGGCTTGGCCATGCTTGCTATGGAACATTCTCTCAAATACGGAGACATGAAGATTTTATTTTATGGTTATTGTATGTGTTTTATTTTAAACTAGAGGCCTGGTGCACAGATTCGTGCACCAGGTCCCTTGGCCTGGCCTGCAGGGATCGGGCCAAAACCGATCTCTGGGCCCGGGGTGCGGGTGAAGCAGATTCGGGCCCCAGCAGCTACCTAACTCATGGCCAATTCTGCAAGGAATCAGGCTCCCTCCTCTACTGGTTGGAGTGTCTGTCCCCTACTGGTCATTGTGCGTAATAGCTACTGGCTGAATGGTTGAACAGTTGAATGGTCGCTTAGGCTTTTATATATATAGATTTTTTATTGATTTTTACTGAGAGAGAGAAATGCATTGATTTGTTGTTGTTCCACTTATTTATGCATTCATTGGTTGCTTCCTGTATGTGCCCTTACCAGGGGTCAAACCCATAACCTTGGTATGTTGGGATGACACTTTAAACAAGTAAGATACCTGACCTGGCTTAGTCATATGCAGATTTTAAATCTAGAGCTACATTAATATTCAGACAGTTAAAAAGATAACTGCTAGGCAGTTGGCTTATGTTCTGAGTTTTCTTCTGTATGCTTGACATTTTGATACAGCTAAAAACCCAAAGAACAAGATAAGGTCTTAATGGAACTGTGGTCCTTGTCCTGTCCTTTGAGGTAGGCACTATGTTGCAAATAAGCAAACTGGCTTAGTGAAGTTAACTAACTTGTTCAAGGTCACAGAGCTATTTAGAGTCAGAATCAGATTTTAAACCCACACTGTTTTTCTCCAGAGCCCAAAGCACCCCCTATCCACAGTTAATAGACACGACCAGAGATAGTGAGCCCAGTGCATGACTCATCCTGACCGTATATTGGGATCATCTGGAACGCTTGTAAGAAATACCAGTTCCAAATATTGTGGTTTATCGGTCCAGGGTGAGACCCTGTCATTGGTATTTAATTACCTCCCCGCCCCCACCTCCCACCTCCCACCAGCGATTCTGATGTGGAGCCACTTTTGACTCCCCTCAAACACCGATTGGAAGCAGAAGCCAGCTGCCTTTTACAGGTTCACAATATAATCGTGGAACTAGAGTATGCCTACAATAAAATTAGTTCCCATTAAGGAACAATGGAGTATCTCTCACAGTGCCCGTAACATTAGGCGGATAAGAGGAAGCAGCTGGGGTGAACTAGTTCTTGGTGTGTGGGCCACCTTAACTGGTGTAGTGTGGACAGCACAGGAACTGAGGACAACTGTAGGCCCCAGCGCTCACAGCCACCCACGCCCGTGTTGTTAGTGTGGTGCTGCTTAGAGGTAACATCAGGAAATTGCCATGAGAGGGTGGTCGTTTTCCTCTCGTGTCTGAAATATTCGGAAGCCACATCCAGCATTCCTAACATCCTCAAAGTAAAGTTTCAAGCATAGACGTAAATGAATGAAATAGCCAATAGCTGAGTGATAGCTCAGAAAGTTCCTTCAAAATAGCAAATGCAGATGTTTTTATTTTCCGTTCTCAGTAAAATGATGTCACCCCAGTTCCAGGAGCTGCACTTTATCCCAATGTTGAATCTTCTTTTTTTGGTCTTTTTTATTGAATTTATTGGGGTGACATTGGTTAATAAAATTATGTAGGTTTCAGGTGTACAGTTCGATAATACATCATCCGCATATTATATTGTGTTCACCACCCCAAGTCAAGTCTCCTTCCATCACCATTTACCTCCCCCACTTTACCCTCTTCTACCTTCCCCCACCCTGACTCTTATTCTGTGCTAATTCTCAAGTGCTATATATAGACTGTAACATAAGCGACTTGTTCTAGGATGGAAATTATTAAAGAAACTCACACAAATCCACAAGCTAAAAGTGTCCCCATTTTAAAGAGCACTTGAGGGGAAGAAGCATATGGAGCTATTTTGTAACAGAAGTACATGGTGCTGGACTCAGAGGGACCCTGCGAGTAGCCATCGCACATGTGTCGGGAAGCAGCATCCTTTCTCCTTTTCTGCAAGATAATTCTGTCAGTACTAACACTGCAGTGTGAAAGCAACGTATTCATAAAATATCTTTTGGTTAAAAATAGCCCCCTCAACACTTTGCAGAATAAAAATAAATGTTTTCTCACCCATCTAGTCTACTGAAAGCATCTGAGAGCAAATGCAAATTTCTGGTGGTAGACCCTTACTTTCCCTGACACATTTGAGAAAGGAATGTCTTAATTTGGAAGTCAAAGATAGAATAACAATTTAAAGCATATCATATGCTTTTTAAGTTTATTCTTTAAATTAGAAAAATATACTAAAGAAATGAAAACAAGACTTTCTTTCTCACTGAAATTAGTGTCTTCTCATGGTGAGGATATTTAGAGTATAAGAATAGACATAATAAGAAAAGGAAATGAACCCCTAGCATCTTATGAATATGCTAATAACTTTAAGTAGTAATGTGATATTTTTATGTAATACTTAAACCTTTGGTCATGACTCACATCTAGGATTCCATTATCTAGGCCTAAGAAACCCGAAAGGGTGCAGTTGGGGTTTGTAAAGATGGCAGCTGTAACTGCATTGCTTAGCGCAGGGACCTGGACCCAAGAAAGAGCGAGGGAGAGATCTGGGTTCAGTATAAACCCGGAGGTCAGTGAAGGTCAGATTGGGTACAGGACTCCAGTGTTTTGAGTCAGAAGGTCAGGTCAGAATGTGCCCTCAGGTCTCCAGAGGCCAAGGCTTGATTGGGTTAGAACTCAGGTCAGTAGATAGTGTGGTAATCAGAAGCTCATCCCCAGGATGGTGGCTGCTGATTTGGGCCAACAGAGGACCTGACTGGCAGGTGACGGGGAATTGGCTGCTGTTAACTAGAAGGGCCTTAGGAGGAATGGCTGTAGGTGAGTCCTGATGGTGGTTGGAGAACCTTAGAGCCCTAAGTAATTGTTCTTCCACTGGGCCACCATGGCGTACGAAGAACAGTACTCTGTAAAATGTTCTTAAATTTAAAAACAGTATAGAAACGCCTCACATCTGGCACTGTCGGGAAATAGGTTGCTTCACATATAAAGTTCACCTTGTGAGTGCTGAGACCTTGTTTTTATAATATTGGATGGAAATACTCTAGAATGTGTTCACTGGTCCTCACCTCATTAAATGCGCTGCACTATATATCATTCTGCCCCCACCTGGTGACCCAAAGCCCTGTTAATGTGTATGAGGCTGTCTATCCACACACTAAGTGACCCTACGTTACTGCAGATGAAACGGGAGAAAGAGAACTTGCTTTGGTCAAGGAATACCTTTAGCTATACTTGTAAGTTATTCGGATCTGCTCGGCAAGTAGTGCGAGGCCTTTGCATGGCCTGTGACAGTCACAGGATGGGCTGGGCCTCATCCTCAGAGGTTGTTTTCACTTCCTCGTCTCAGTTATGCCCCTTCTCAGAGGCCTGATACTGGAAAAAGGGGATTGCTGCAGTTTTCTAATTTTAGGCCCTCGAGAGTGATAGTCCTGCCCTTAGCCACTAAGGGATAGTTATTAGAAAGATTTTCAGGTAATTTTTTGCTATATTTAACAAAGTGAGTAGAAGAATTTCTATACTGGATATGTATAAGGTCCCCTAATGATGGTCTCAGAATTATTATATATTCCTGGCATGGTTATAAGAACTCTCTCCCACGACCCTCACCTCACTTGCTGGCTGGGACCAACCTTCCTTTTGCCTATACTGGATATGTATAAGGTCCCCTAATGATGGTCCCAGATTATTATATATTCCTGGCATGGATATAAGAACTCTCCCTCACAACCCTCACCTCACTTGCTGGCCAGGACCAACCTCCCTTTTGCCCTTTCTCTCCATCACCAGCCACATGGGTTGCCATGTTGCATATCTTTTTAAACAGCGAGGCTCCTTTCAGATTTCCTCCACTCTGCCCACTGTAGGAAATCCAGACCAGAGTCACAAACTCTTGTGTTTAAGAGAGTCAGGCTGCTTCCCTAAATAAGGGAAGCCGCTCACATGGCACAGTGGGGACTAGAGAAATGGTGAGCTTCTGAGACTGGGGTCCCTGCTTCTCATACTCAGCTGCTTGTTACTAGATGGAGTGTGGGTGTGGAGTTGTCAGAAGTTGATTTTTCAGGAAAATTAAAACAAGACAAAGCAAAACAGATTTTTATGTGATTATTCCTGATTTTTAAAACTGCTTGCAATTTGGGCTATAATTTGTTGTAGCCTTACAATTTTTAACCCTATCTAGCCCTTGGCTGGTGGCTGGGGTTGGCTTAGTCTAGGGCTAAAGACTAGACGGCTCCTCCGACCACAGCCGCTCACTGCCTGTTAGGCCATTGATGCCGCTTCACATCCTTCCCTCCAAACATCTGAGCCCAGAGTCCTTCCTCAGCACCTGGACACGGCATCCCCTGGGACTCTCTCACCCGGATCGGGAGGAGCGCAGGAGTGTCCGTGTGACTTGTGTGGCTGGAGGAGGAAGTGTGTGTGTGGAGGCAGAGTGGGGCTAACTTAGTGTCAGAGCTTTAAAGTCGACCTTTGGAGTTGGAATTTGGAATGTCTTCCCATGGAAGTAATGCACAAATGAAGCACAGGTTCCGCCATATCATGGTTTTCATTCCATTACTTCTTCAGTTAAATAGGTTTTGAAGTGATTACTTTGATATTCAGCAGCTATTTTGAAGACTTTGATTTTGGGGGAAAGATGTTTCTAACTGCCAAAGGACTGAACTACAAATAACCTTTTGTGTGTCTATTTGAGTGCTGTACATGTATACTCCTTATGTTACCGCAGGGGTATAGAATAGATCATTTAAAACAATTTATCAACAATGAAGAATGAAATATGAGACACCCATTCCCAGTCTGTTTTCTGACTTTTTCCTATTCATTTATGAGATTTAAATGCCTCAAATACTTGAACAGAATTATATATTTATTCTTGGGTTGGACTAGTCTTTTTGAGGGTTTCAGCTCATTAAAGAATTCTGTAGAAGCACAAAGAGGAGAGAGCCTTCAGAAAGGCTCCTTAAAAAGGAGAGGCTGACCTGGACTACCACTAATGTTAAATGCTGTAAATTGGTCTGAGAGGTAAAATAGAATCAATGCTTCACACTCCTTTGTTAGTTTCCAGAAATTAAATTGGCCGTATGTTTGGTCCTGGATCAAAGACTAACAAAGCATGGTATTCACTTGTTTTCTCATAAAAACATCAAAAATCCCTACCCTCTACTAAAAGGTGTGAAATTATTTTTCAGCCAGAGCAAAACGTTAAAGCATCTATTGGTACATATCCACACTATAGTAGTGGGGATTTCAATGCAAAATTGCTCTGCAATTAATATGAACTTGGGCAAGTCATCTAACCTTTCTAAGCCTGTTAACTTATCTGTAAAATGAATGTAACATAGGGTGGTTTGGAGAATTAAATAAGATGGAATATATACATCTTTATAGTATCTAGCACATAGATATTTCACATGTAGTTATTATGATTGATATTATTATTTGTTTGGATCAGAACCTTCTAGGCTATTTTAGAACTCAAGCTTTTATTTTTCGTCTTTTATCATGTGTCTTTTGTTACATTTTTAACATCTTTATTGAGGCATAATTCACATAAAATTCAGCCATTTAAAGTATACAATTCAATAGTAAACTCAGAGTTATGCAACCATCTCTATCTAAGTTTAAAATAATATCATCACCACAAAAAGAAGCTCTGTGCCTCTTACCACAGAATTGATGGCTGATAATATTTCTTCCATTGCTGAGTGTTGCTGGAAATACATCACGTTTTGTTTACCTGATCATTAACGGGCGGACATTTGGGTTGTTTCCACTTTTGGGCTACCGTGAATAATGCTGCTCTGAACATTCATGTACAAGTTTTTGTGTGGACATAGCTTTCATTTTCTAGGAATGGGAATGCTGGGTCATATAGTAGCTCTATGTTTAACAATTTCAGGAACTGCCAAATTGTTTTTCATACTGGCTGCACCATTTGCATTCCCACCATCAATGAATTAGTGTTTTAGTGTCTCTACAGCTTCATCCACACTTATTATTTTCTGTTTTTGTGTGTTATAACCTCCTAGTGGGTGGGAAGTGGTATCTCAGCGTGGTTTTGATTTTCTTAATGACTAATGATGTTGAGCATCTTTTCATTTGCTTATTGGCCATTTGTATATCTTCTTTGGAGAAATGTCTGTTCAAATTCTTTGCCCATTTTGTAATTGGGTTAATTGTCTTTAATTATTGAGTTTCAGGAGTTCTTTATATATTCTCCATACAAGTCCCTTATCAGGTACATGTATGATTTACAGATATTTTCAGCCCATTCTGTGGGTTGCCTTGATATTAGTTTTTTTTAACTGATAAATCTGAACATCTATGTATTTAATACTTCCATGCCCTCCTGACTGATTTGCATAAACTCTCTTCCCAGCCTCTGTTTCTCTACCTTGCTCTCCAGTCTGTCCACGAGCCCCTTCAGGTCCCCGAGGAGTACCTGAAGCCATATGACTTTATCCAAGATAAGAACAGGCGTCACTATGCAGGAATGGTTTCCCTTATGGATGAAGCCGTGGGAAATGTCACCGCAGCCTTAAAAAGCCGTGGGCTCTGGAACAACACGGTGTTCATCTTCTCCACAGGTAAGCCTGTCAACAGGAAAATCATCTCTTGGCAAAGTTTAGGACATGGTATCCGATGAATGGAATGAAGACAAATTGGAGCATTTAGCGGTTCCTTATTAAAATGAATGCTAACTGCAAGAGTGAAGACATGATCATAATGGGTAGAAAGATGTGTCTAAGGAAAAAGAATTATGGGCTTCCCCACCTTTCTTCCAATATGAAAATATTCTGGGAGTATGCTTGACAACAAGTGCTTTCTGAGTAAGTATGAGAGGGCATCCCTCACACAGGGCAGCTGGGCACTGAATCCTTGGACTGGCTTGTTCTCAGCAATCTCTGCAGCCCAGGCTCTGTCAGGAGGACTTCTGCTGACTGCAGGGGGCTCTGTGTCAGAGACAGAGTGTGACATTATGAAGACAGATAAGAAATGGAGCCATTTAAATCTAGGCTAGAGCCGCCAAGTATAGATTTTTTTACATTAAAATTTTCTGACAATAAAAATTATGCATGTTGATTATAGGAAAAACAGAAAAGTAGAAAGAAGAAGTTTCTTGAAAATCATTATTATGGTGATGTCATTCCGACTTCTAACCTGTTATATATAGTAGACATAGTTTCTATTCCCTAGGGATGTACTTTGGGTATAGGTCTTGGTTTATTCGTTATGTTGAGTACTCGGAGAGTACTTCCTATTGGAAAATGCTGATCTTTTTTTTATGGGAAATTTCTTGTATTATTTATGGCAGAATTGTTTGACCCTCCATCCCACCTTCCTCCTAGTCTGCCTTCACAAAACTCCTGTTATTTGGATATTGGATTAATCCTCTAATCAATCAATCAATCTCTCTCTCTCTCTCTCCCTCCTATTTTCTTTCCTTCATCATTATTTTCTCATTATTATTTTATAACCATTCCATTGAATTCATTGTAATGACCATAGTTTTTAATTATCAAGGACTCTTTCTTGTTTTCTGATAATTCATTTTTTGTGTGAAGTTTTTTTTTAATCATTTTTTGGGTGCAATTAATAATTTATTTCTCCAAAGCCTGTGCTCTTAACCATTAATTGTGTGTGTGTGTACACATACATATAGTTTTAAATTTGCTTATACTCCCAATGTTGTCTCTCTTCCTTCTAAGGTTGTTTGTATCTTTGTTTTGGTCTGCATTTCACGAAGGAGCTTTCTCAAATTCCTAGTGTTCCTTGGCTACAACCTGAGGTTGTGTTTGTAACCTGTTTGTAACCTGGTGAGTTTTACTGTAAAGTGACTGTGTAAGGGATGTGAAGTGGCATGTTGAGGAATGAATCTGATTATTGTACTCATAGTTGTTTTGTGTGTTTTTTTAAAGGTTGTTTTGTTTTGCTTCCAATCGGGCATGGTTATTGAATCTAGCAATTATTGTGTGCTTACTACTTTCAGGACATAGTTCTAAGTGCTTTACGGTAATTAGTTAAATTGATCCTCACAATAGTTCTCTTGCAGGTGTGAGAACTGAAGCACAAAGAGGCTGAGTAACTTGCCCAAGGTCACACAGCCAGGCAGAGCCAGGCACCCGCCTTCCTGGCTCCGCTGCATCTCCTGCCTCTGAGGTGATGCAGATGGTGGTCTGGATGTTCTTATTGGACCTCATGACATAGCAGAGCTTTCTGCATGGTGTGCTGCAATACCAATCTCTCGAGGAGCCTGGACAAGGCCAGGGGCCACCCTGAGCAACCTTGTTCCGCTGCTATAATTTTCTAAGTATTCTCTGTTGTGGAAAGGGTTGCTATTACATTTATTTTTCCTCCAAAACTTACTCTTCAGAAAAGAGGGAGACATCTTATATACAAGTCCGTACAAGATCTCTCTCATACTGAGGGTTTTTGTCAATTGGCTTTATGTTGAACAGCCTGGAAAGCACGTTGATCAGTGTTGGTACTGAATACTTATAGAGGTAACTCACTGAAAGAAGCAATAACAAAAGAGGTCAAGAAATTTATACTCATTTAGTAATTATTCCTGGGAAATGATCTCACGATTATAAGAATTAGCAGTGGTAAGTTTATAAAACAATCTTTGTTGTAGAGATCAGAGTGATATAGTTTAAAGATAAATTATTTCCTGAAACAAAAGTATATATGTATTAATGTGTCATATACAGACTGAAAGTGCTCTGTGGATAAGGAACTTGAGGCTTAGAGAACATTAAGTAACTTGATTAGGGTCACATAGCTAGGAGGTAACAGAGTGAATCCACATATGTCTAACTCAAAGCTTTCTTATTCATTTGTGAACTCTTTGAATTTGTCTCAACTAGTGCTCCTCCTAAAACTGTAATTTTTGCTGCTTTTTATATAGTAACTAGTGGCCCGGTGCACGAAATTCATGCACATTAAAAGGGAATTACTTAGAGCAAATATTTTAATATTGCTATTTGCCCTTTCTCTATAATAGAAGTGTCAGAGATGAAAGAAAATTAGTAAAATGTATATGAAAATCTTTCATATACAGACTGAAAATGCTCAGTCAGAGAAGATGGTAGCTCTGGGAAACTGCCAAATATCTCAGAGTGGCTCCTGTGACAACGGATATTGATGTCAAGTAGACATGGGAAGGAGTAGAATAAAGTTTTTTCATGATGTATGAAAGTGTGGAAAAAATCAATATTTTGAGATATTTTCTTATATGATTTCAAGTGTGTATACATAACTTTTAAATAGATAGTTGACTATTTTATAAACATCCATATTATATTTATTCAAGTCAGCAAAAATAATTTTTGGAGCTTTTCACTAAGAAAATGGGGATTACTTTATTTTAAGGTTGTCTCACTATGATATATATATATATTTTTTTAATTAAAGCTTTATTGTTGAAAGTATTACATATGTCCCCTGTTTTCCCCCATTAACCCTTTCTAGCTGCCCCCCCTTCCCCCTCCCCAAGCCTTCACCACCCTATTGTTTGTGTCCGTGGCGACACTATGATATATTAGTAGATATATTAGTCTTGGACCATGTTTGCTTTGTTGGGCTGGGCTAAATCCAACTTGATCATGTATATGCATTTTTATTATTCTGCTGAATTCAATTTGTTAGAGGTTTATTTAGGATTTTTGTATTGAGTCAGGGGTAAAAAGTGGGGGGGGGGGCTTTTTCTCTCTGTGTCAGGTTTTGTTGTCTTGGTTATGCTCACTTAATAAAGCAGTTTGGATGGTTTTTCCATTTTTCCCCCCTCTGCTCTAGAGCAAGTTCACAGGCTGTTTGAAAGATCTGTCTGGGTAAGTTGGTCCCTGAAACCATTTTTGGAGGCTTTTTTTTTTTTAATTATCTTCATAGTTTAGATTTTTGCTGAATTATATCTAGGCGTGGGTCATTAAAATATTTTAAAATTAATTTTGCCTGAAATACAGTGAACGCTTTGATCTCTACGCTGAGATTATTTTTCACTCCAGGAAGTTTTCCCTGTTCATATTATAGCTTATTGCTTTTGTTCTGCTTGATTTATTTCTCAAAAGTATCTTTAATTAGTAAGTTGAATCACAGACTCAATGTCTCTCTCATCATTTTCTGTGTTTTGTCCTTTTTCTCAGACTTCTGGATCCAGCTCCTCTGCATTACATTTTTGCAATTTTAATTCTGCTCTTTAATATCGCCAGTGTAGATTGCTATTGATTTTGTTTTTAGTTGCTTTGCAATCCTTTGTTTGCCTTAGTCAGTTCACTGGTCATGTCATTAAGCATTGAAGCTCAATGTAACCTTGTGAAATAAGTTTCTTCATCTCCATTTTATAAATTTACTAGAGGCCCAGTGCACAAATTCATGCACGGGCCTGCCCTGATAAGGGCCCATTTTTGGGGGGGGGGGGGGGGGGGGGGGGGGGGGGCGGTGTGGGCAGTGGGCCAGCCGGCCCGCCCCTGATTGGGGTGTTGGGGGTTGATTGGGGGCTGGGCTGGCCAGGTTGGGGGGCGATCGGGGCCTGGATCAGGCTGGTTGGCTGCCACAGTGTGTGTCATAGCCATCGGTCGTTCCAGTTGTTCTGGTCATTCCGCTGTTCCAGTTGCTGGGCTTTTATATATACTAGTATAGATAAATGAAGAATGAAAGAGGTTAAGTGCTTTTCTCATGGCCACTACTACTCTGAATGTTTTTCACTCCAAATTCACATGTTGGAATATTAACGCCCAATGTGATGGTGTCAGAAGGTGGAGCCTTTTTGAGAGTTAAAGGCTGGGAATGAGATAGTCAGATAAATGGTGTGCTGGTGGAGAGGAACCTGGGCAGCATCCTCAGCTATGAGCCATGAACATGAGCAAGGGCAGAATGGAGAACAGTCATGTAGTAGGTTCAGCACGGCTGGAGCCCAGAGTATAAGGTGGGGAATGGTTAGATGTGAAGCTGGAGATTGTAATGTAAGACCTGGCTCAGAGAGGAAGGAGGTAGAAGGTGCTCTGAAGGCCGTGGGGAAGCATCGAAAGGTATTAAGTAGGATCATATTTTCATTTTAGGATTAGTGTGGAGGATGATTGAAGGCAGATTGGCGTTTTAGAAGGTGATGGCGGTCAAGAGGGGTAGAGGGTAAGGAGGGCCTGAGTGAAGGCAGAGAGAAATTTGAAGGAGATGAAAGGACAGATTTAAGAAATGCATAGGAGAGCGTGGACAGTTGATCTCTGAGAGTCCTTGTTACTAGGAAAGTTGAGGTGCTGTAATTCTGTGCTTTCAGAACTTTCATCAGGACTGGTGATAGCCTTTGATGGGACCATCCCTTCTTTTGGCAATGGGGTGCATTTGCAGAGAGCTGGAAAGAATGCAGCCTGTGGCCAGAGTGCCCGTGTAGTCCACAGAGCAGTAGATTCATAGTCCATTAGAGACTGGGGTAGGGTCTACTGGGAAATGTGCAGAAATGGCTTTGGCGGTCACAGTGTTTTGAGGGTGAAGTCATTTGAAGGACCAGCCCTGTAGTGCTCAGGCAGCCCTGCACAGTGGAGACATGTCCTGCCCCAGAGGGTCAGGAGACCGTCGAGGAGCCCTGACTGGA